AAACAAGGTTCTCCGATTGTTTTTCGTTAAAGAAATGGAGATATTTTAAAATATTGATATGGGGAGCGTATGATTGACGTCATTACTTATACGCCACCGCTTGATAACTTTAAAATTACTTTTTTAATCTTTTTGTTATTCAGAAAAAAGAGAAGAACTTCTCCATTGTTATTTGTTGCCATTTTGTTCCCTTAAGCAATTTGTCTATGGCCAAAAAGCTGCAAATTTTTTTCAAGATCTTTTTAGCAAAGCAAAGGAAGAATAGTTAAGTGTTCCATGTTTTTTTTTCTTCTTCTTTTTCCTTTTTTTTGGCAAAAGTACCAAACAATGTTGTGTTAGAAATAATGTTGGATTTTTTTTTCACAAAAAGGAAAAATATGAAATTCTCTGAAAATGTTGCTTCTTGTATGTGTCTATGGCAGTCAGAAAGCCTTTGAGTCTTCAAGCTATGGCTACAGCAGCCACTACTTCAACTACTAAACTACTGACCTTTATGGGTTTTACAGTGGTGTTTTTTTGCCACAACTACTTTCGTCTTTACTTCGAGGGTCATGAGGGGCGTAAATGTTATGAGGTGGGTGGTTTGGCGAACTGCTTTTGACTTTAGAAAGTAAAAACTCGAGAACTACTCTTGTAAATGTTGTCGTTTTTGTCTGTTTTCATTTTTGCCATTTGTTGTATTGAATTTTTTGCTGGTTTTTGCTTTTATGGCTTCTCATATTTAAGTTGTTGGCAGTTTTTTCTGTGTGGAGGAAGATGAGAAGGTCCTTTCTGCAGTTTAACATTTTTCTGCACTCTCACTCTCCCTCCCTCTCTCGAAGTACATAATTACTGGCCATTCATTAACTGTTTTTTTGTCGGTTCAGCTTTCCGGCTGGCATTCATTTGTTGTTATTTAACAATGCCTTTTGGTTTTTGGGGCCAAATGTTTTTCCTCTTCTTCTTCTTCTTGTGGCCTTTTCATGTAAGTGGACACAACAAATGTTGGTTACTAATTAAAATGTTTGTCAAACATGACTTTATGGTTTGTTTGCTTGTATGGCCAAGGGCAACAAATTTCTATGAAAAGGTACTTTGCCGAATTTTTGCTTTTTCAGGGTTGATAATTAAATTTTCTTGTGGAAAAAATTGAGAATCTACGAAAAAGGAATTCATTTCAATAGAAAAAAAGCCTTTAAAACCGGAAATAAAATATTGCGTATTAGTAATGACAGCACTTATACGCCCAGAGGGTGTAGAAGCAATTGTTTGGCTTTTATAGAGGACATGGGATAATTTGTGGGTCATCTGAGGACTGAAGGATTTTTTGGATTTTTTCCAAGTCCCCGATTTTCTATAGAAAATATTTGGACCATATCTAGACCACGGATTTTCTACAATATTTAATCCCTCACAGGACCATAGCTGTTCCGGAAAACATTTTGTAGCCCCTGGAAAGACCTGGGGTCTTTATAGAAAATATATTAGAGTCTCGACAAGCCATATATTTAATTTGAAACATTTTTTGCCCCTCAATAAAATATTGCGTATACGTAATGACAGCAATCATACGCCCCAAGGGTCAGATAAGACTATTTTGCTTTGAAGAGGTCAAATTTCTTTCCAACGAAAATTTTTTGTACAGAAATTAAGGTCGAGAGGTCCAAAGAAATTTTTTTCTACAGAAACTAAAGTCCAGAGGGTGCCATAATTTTTATTTTCTCGGAAAAAAACTAACACCCAAAGGTCTTGAGTCCTTTTAGGGATAAAATTCAAAAAATCATGAAATTACCACATAAAATAAAAATATCCTACATGACATCGATTTTTTCGTGATATGTGTTATAGATACCGATTTCAATTAGTAGGTGACCTATAGTGAAATTCGACGGAGAATATTTTTTCGATTGACATCAACCGTCTAAAATGAAGGGTTTTGGGAGAAATGAGTTAAAGTTGAACCTAACCTCAAAAAAAACTCAATACAAAAAAGGTATATTTAAAATAAATAATTTCCTGATATACGTTACAGCATAAATTATACAGCTGCAGATTTCTTTACTTCGAAAACCCATAGTGAAATTCGATGAAGAATATTTTATCCATTGACAACAACCCTCTAAAATGAAGGGTTTAGAGAAAAATTAGTTAATTTTGGATATAACCTCAAAAACCTATATATAAACAAAATAAATAAAATACCCAAATTAAAAAATAATATAATTTCCTGATATACGTTATAGCTACAGATTTCATAACTTTGGGGACCTATAGTGAAATTTTCCCTAGAATACTTCTTCTATTCATAACTACCCCGTAAAATGAAGGTTTTAGCGGCAAATTGCTTAAAATAGATATAACCTCAATATGAAAAATGAAAAAAATATAAATATGAAAAATAAATAAATTTAAAATAAATAATATCCCGATATACATTATAGCTATATATTTCTTTACTTTGGAAACCCATAGTAAAATTATCCGTAGAATATTTTTTCCATTGACATCAAAGCTGTAAAATTATATTTTGTTAGGCAAATAGCTCTTTTACTGAAATAAGTATGAATATTGCGTATAAGTAACGACAGCAATCATGCGCCCCGATGTTCACACACATTTGGCTTATATTAGGGCCAATTTCTTTCCAAAGAAACAAATTTCCACAGAAACTAGGGTTAAGAGGGTCCCATGATTATGGTTTTCTTGAAAAACCATAGTAACATCCTAAGGGTCTTGAGATTTTTTTTTTTTTTTTTTTTTTTTGATAAAATTCCACAAATTGCGAGTTTATCACAGAAAACGTACATAACCCATTCGACATTGATTTTTACGTGATATATATTATAGTTACCGATTAGAGTTTGTAGGAGACCTATAGTGAAATTCTATGGAGAATATTTTTTTCATTGACATCGAAGCTGTAAAATTATTTTTTAACAGTCAAATAGCTCTTTTATGGAAAGAAATCTGGATTTTGGCTTTCGAAATAAATATTTTATTGTTACCATATTATTATCGATTTTTATATGATAAATATAACATATACAACCTCCACTTGTTCGGTGACCTATAGTGAAATTTGATGCAGAATATTTTTCTCATTAACATCTCTCACGTAATATCACGTCTTGTGGGAGAATTTTGCCAATACTGAACATAACCTTAAAAAATTTTAAATTAAGATAAAAATTAAAAATACACAAAATTGAAGCGCATACTTCGTGGATATATATTATAGCTAACGATTTCGGGTCTTTGGTGACTTATAGTAGACTTTTGTGTAGAATATTTTCTTAATTAACATCAAGACCCTAATGTTACAAATTAAGGTATAAATGCCCACATTATTGCAAAAACTATATAATTGGTTCCACATAAGGGTGACATTTTTATGAACACATTTCTATTGATTTTACTATCATTTATACTAGATATACAGACTACCTTTGTGCCGCGAACTATTATGGAATTTTCTGGAGAATATTTTTTCCATTGACATCACCCCCCTAAATGGAAGTATTGTGGTTGTTACGACCCTAACTTGAACATAACCTTTAAAACTAAATCTTTTTCATATAATCATAAGTTGAAGTAATATTTCGTAAAGAAATATTATAGTTACAGACTTCTTTTGTTCGATGACTTAGTGCGGAATTTGATGTAGATTATTTCTTCCTTAAACACCTTTTCTCTAGAGAGAAGTTTTGTATTCGAAAATGGCCTGAATTGAAAATAACTTATTTCCATACATAATTTCTTGTATTGCATATTATGGCGTATACGTGATAATGGCAAAATGTTAATCATACGCCACAATTTCTTTTTCTCTCAGTGTAGAAGAGCTAGAACCACAAGGGTGCGTATGATTTCTGTCAACACTTATACGCCACCGCTCTATTTACTCAAAAATGTTTATTTAAAAGGAAATAAGTTATTTATTATGTAAAACAAAATTATGTAAGACTATGGACCTCTGAGGGCCCTGAAGATTTTTTCAGTGTCCCAAATTTGTCTATAAAAATTGTGTAGTTCTAAAAGGAGTCATATTTCTTCTATGGAAAATCTATGGCCTTTTGATGGGCAACGAATTGCCTTTTAAAAATAAAGGGCCCTAAAAAGGGTCTTTTAAAAATGTTATAGGAAATCTATAGCCCTCAAAAGAGCCACACACTTTGTTATAGAAAAGGGTGCGTATGATTTACGTCAACACTTATACGCCACCGCTTTATTTACTCAAAAATGCCTATTTAACAGGGAAATGAGCTATTTTTATTTAAAAGACAATTATGTATGGCTTTTGAATGGGATACAGAAGATTCTAAGTTAAGTCTATGGACCTCTGAAGGCCCTGAACATTTTCAAAAGGTTCCAAATTTGTCTAGAAAAATTTGTTAGCTCTACAAGGAGTCATATTTTTTGCTATAGAATATCTATGGCCTTTTGATGGACCACAAATTGTTTTTTTTTTAGGAAATCTATGGCCCTTAAAAAAATTGGCTATAGAAAATCTAGGACCCCGAAAGAGCAAAATGAAGGACTACAATTTTTTCTGTTTTCTTCAGATAAAATATTATTTTATTATTTATTTATTTTTTTACTTCCGGGGCGTATGACGGCTGTCATCACTTATACGTCCCGATGTCCTCGTAGTATCTTTTATGACTTCAAACCACCTGATTATTAAAATTAAATCAATTTATCTCCATAAAGGAATCCCATTTCATTTTTTATTCATATTCTTCAGGACACATCCTTTGAAGGATGCATTTCTTTGTATAATTTTTTCCTCATTTATTATGAATACTGACAACTTTTGAGCTCTTTTTATTTTTTACCAAATTGATATCATTAATATCAATCATATGTCCTGTAGGATACCTTGCCTGAGGAAAATCATGAGGATTCGTGGAAGGGTGGTGGACAAATCCTCAGCATCATTGTCATCATCATCGTTAATGTCATCATATTTTTTGTTATATATACTTTAATACTGACATCATGTTCTATCATCTCGCTTGCAGGTTCTTTTATATTTTTAACAATTGAAAGTGAAGATGCCACTCTGCTGCAGCAACAAAGGACCCTGGCCTCGACCAAAAGGAATATTGGGCCACACAAACAATCACATAGCCAACAAGTGCCGGTGGGGAATGGTGGTGTGGCGGCCGGTGGCAGCAATGGACCAACAATGGATAGCAGCAACAACAACAATTTATATCACACTCAACAGCAGCAGCAACAACATGTGGACAATGGTACAATGAGTGCAGCAGCCGGTACTTCGTATGGTGGCGGCAGCTCATCTTCCTCCTCGTCGTCATCATCACCTTCCCAAATGATGGAGGGTGTCATCTCATTGAATAACAATGATTTCAGTTACGGTGACGACTTCACACCTCAGTACGCCTTATCGCCGGACACTTATGATGTACGCCAAAGGACCATAGAAAATATCTGGGATATAACCGTATCCTTGAACATTTTGTACAAGGAGAATTGGACAAAGTGAGTGAAAAGAAAACAGGTCATAAAATTGTAACTGTAAATCTCAATAACACACTCTCTCTCCCCATTTCCCTCTCTCTGTTTCCCTTTGTCTTGCTTATCTCCAGATTGGCAGCTCTGGAAATTGCTAAATTTCAGGACCAATTAATTAAGAGACTGAATGAAGATGCCATGTTACAATTATCGCATGACACCGATGCGACGAATGGCCAAACACCGGCCACCGAGGCTGTACTCCTGTTCCATCAGCATGGTCTGTCACCGCATCATCTGCACCATCATCATCATGAATGGAATTTTGCCAAGGCCTTTCTCTATTCGTTAACGGTGCTGACCACAATTGGTAAGTTGAGAATGATGAGGCCCTCTCCCCCCAAAAGCAAATTGAAACTTGAAAGAAAATTGTTTTAATAGTGAAGTTCGACAAGGAAATCTTGAAATAATATAGAGCCTGAGGGAGTTCCAGCTACGTATTAGAAGGAAATTGAATTTCAAAGCCTTAAATTTAATTTTTGGACATTAGGGTGTATGACTAATGACAGCAGTTATACGCCACCGTACCCTGAGAATTTTTTATGACGATTTTCTATAAAAAAAATCTCTTCGACCTCAGACAACAATTCATTCAAAGGAAAAAATTCACAGACCTCAGAACCCATTCCCTTTTTCATTAGAAAAATATTTGTAAGGCATCCTAGGATTCATTTTTCTCACAAAACCAATTAGGAACATATTCTGGACTCATTTATTTTAATTAAAAAAAAAAATGAGGTACCTCAGGACCTCCTTTATTCAAAAGAAAAAACATTTTGAATGACAACAGCTCTCATGTTTTTAATAGAAAAATTATTTCGTGGACATAGGGGCGTATGACTAATGACAGAAGTTATACGCCACCGCATACCGATAATTGTTTTATGACAATTTTCTATAGAAAAATAATCTCAGTGAACTCTGAAAACAATTCAACCAAAGGAAAAAAAATCGCAGACCTCACAACCCATTCCCTTTTTTATTAGACAAAATATTTGTAAGGCATCCTAGGATTCATTTTTCTCACAAAACCAATTAGGACCATCTTCTGGACTCATTTATTTTAATTAAAAAAAAAATTGAGGTACCTCAGGACCTCCTTTATTCAAAAGAAAAAACATTTTGAATGACAACAGCTCTCATGTTTTTAATAGAAAAAATATTTCGTGGACATAGGGGCGTATGACTAATGACAGCAGTTATACGCCACCGCATACCGATAATTGTTTTATGACAATTTTCTATAGAAAAATAATCTCAGTGAACTCTGAAAACAATTCAACCAAAGGAAAAAAATCGGAGACCTCACAACCCATTCCCTTTTTTAATAGACAAAATATTTGTAAGGAATCCCAGGATTAATTTTTTCCCAAAAACAATTTGACGAACTTCTGGACTCATTTGTTTTTAATAGAAAAAATTTTGAGGTGCCTCAGGACCTACTTTCTTCTAAAGAAAAAACATTTTGAATAACCACAACTCTCATTTGTCAATAGAAAATTATTTCGAGGGCATTGGAGCGTATGACTAACGACAGCAGTTATACGCCACCGTACACAGAGATTTGTTTCATGGCGATTTTCTATAGAAAAATAATCTCTGTGACCTCAGAAAATAATTCAATCAAAGGAAAACAAATTCAGAGACCTCAGAACCGATCTCAATACCCATTTTTTCCAAAGGAAACAATTTGAAGACAGTAAAAATTTCCGGGAACTCAGGAACCATTTTCTTTTTTATTTAAAAATTGATAGGAAACATAGGATTCATAAAAATATTTTGAGGGATCTCGAGCCAGATTTTTCCAATAGAAAAAATCTGCAACACCTCAGGATCTCCATCCTTTTGAGGAAACAATATTTAATGGCCACAACTCTGATTTTTTCAATAAAAAAATTATTTCGTGAACATAGGGGCGTATGACTGATTACAGCAGTTATACGCCACCGAATACTGAGAATCATTTCATGGAGATTTTGAACAGAAAACGTAATTATTCGACTTCAGGGCCCATTTTTTCTAAGGGAAAACAGTACACAGACTGGGAAAAATTCAGGGAACAAAGGTCCCTTTACCTTTTCTATTAGAAAATAATTTGTAAGGGAACTCAGCATTCATTTTATGTCATAAAAGTATTTAGAGAGACCTCAAGCCACATTTTTCCAATAGAAAAAAATCTACATCAACCCAGGACCTCCTTTCTTCTATCGAAATTAAATATGAATGAAAATAGACAATTATTTCAAGGAAATTGGGGCGTATGACTAGTGACAGCAGATATACGCCACCGAGTACTGAGAAATCGTTCATGGCGATTTCAAGAGAATTTTTTCTAACAAATCGCAGACAGGAAAAAAACATCAGGGACATCAGTAAAAAAATGTAGAGAAACTCAGGATTCATATCTACATAAAAACAATTTGAGGGACTTGGAAAAATCTGAGGTACCCCAGGTAATTTTTCTGTACATCAGAAGGAAGTAAGTTCTGATTTCTCCCACCCATTTTTTCTATAGAAAAAAATTCGTGAGACCCTCCGGGTCAAGTTTTTTCGATAGAAAAAAATTCGTGAGACCCTCCGAGTCAAGTTTTTTCGATAGAAAAAAATTCGTGAGACCCTCCGGGTCAAGTTTTTTCGATAGAAAAAAATTCGTGAGACCCTCCGGGTCAAGTTTTTTCGATAGAAAAAAATTCGTGAGACCCTCCGGTTCAAGTTTTTTCTATACATAAAAACGAAACACATCGGGTTTAGTTTTTTCTATAGAAAAAAATTCGTGAGACCCTCCGGGTCTAGTTTTTTCTATAGAAAAAAAAAATCGTGAGACCCACCGGGTCTAGTTTTTATTTTGGCTACCTTAAAAATTAATTTATTAAACATCCAAGCCCTTGCTAAGTCTAAAAAATTAATTTAAAAAAATTCCCACCTATTGTAGCTCCATTAAAATTTAATACCCTGAAATTTATTTTCTTTATGAAATATTATTTTTTCCCCAATTATTAATAATCATACGCTCCATTGCCTTGGCTATTAATAACAATCATACGCTCCCTGGTCGGTTGGCTAGGAAATAACTAAAGTATTAAATTAAATCCCATATCTAAAGACCCAAAACAAATCGAATATCCTGCATTGAGTTCAATATTTAGTAGGGCAATAATGGCCCAAAAAAAAAAATAATCCTTTTCATGATAATAACGGTCAATAATGGCAAAAATCATCAAGAAAATTGAATGGGGGAAAATAAAAAGAAAACAACAACAACAACAATTCGGTGATGTGAAACATTCCAATATTTGGTTGCTAAGCTGGGCCAACCACCCACCCAAACCCTGGCCACGACCAAAAAAAGCAATCACATGGCCAAGTCCTTTGCACACTTCCATTCCATTCAAATTTTGAGGACATGAATGGAAATCCTAGCCCACATCTCTCCTACACAATAGTGAGACCATACACAATGGGAAACGTTTTAATAAGAGTTCTTGTTAAGAGTGCTGAGGAAGGGGTGGGTAGCCATCACTTTCACTGAAGCAATAAAAATTTGTCAATATCTTCAAAACACACATTCGGGAAAAAATACAAAACACCTAATCAATAGCTATCGACTTCCGTTTCCCCTTCAGCTTCAGAGAAATGAAATGAAATCCATGGGACAATAGGCTTAGGTCCCACCATTTACCTACCATGCAGCTTCTATACTGGCGTACAAATATGTCCTTTACAATATGCATTTATTGTTCTCAAATGGTCTAGGCTTAAGATGGTGTAGGGTTCTCCAACAGCTATTGTTCCACAAAAAAAGAAAACAGTCCCAGAAATCTCAGATTTCAATAAAGAAGAAGAATATGAAAAAAGGAAACACATTTTTCCAGATATCCTTTGTGTGTGTGCTAAGGAAGTCTATTTGTATGTTTGTGGTAGAATTGGTGAGGGGGGGAGGTGGAGGGTTGTGTTATTCAGAGGCATTGTTAAAATCACTGAAAGAAGTGCTTGATTTTTTTCTGCCAAGATCAGCAATTTAAACAAGGCAAGGGAACCCAACCGAAATTTACATTTTTCGATTAAGGCAATGATGCCAATATTATCCTGACAGGGGGAGGCAGAGTTCCTCTGCAATTTCAATTGCCTTGAAATGAAGCCGAGAAAAAAACTTGACAACATATCTTTGCCATGTTTACACAACATTCCCGGCCCCATGACAGACAGACAGACCGATACGGAGAGAATAAGCAACAACCATAAAGTCATGATAGCAGCTATAATGATGAGGATGAGTTCGATGATAGCCAGCCTACCCATCCAATACTTAGGCTAGGCCATTAAATTCTGTCATGCAATGTAGTTCTTTTTATTGCCAAACAATAAAATCTGAAATGAATAAAAATTATCTTGAGAAAAAAGAGAAGTTGACAATTGAGATTTTTCTAAGGCGTACGAGTATTTTTTTTATAAAAAACATAAGCCTTCGAAATGAGAAATTTTAAAACTTGAATATTAATACTTCGAGCTATGGGGCGTATGACTATTGGCAATACGTATACGCTACCGGTACTTAACAAAAGTCAAAACGGAGATTGCACAAGTTTTCTATAGAAAAAACTTGACGTGGCTGTCTCACGATTTTTTTCTAGAGAAAAGAAATGACCCTAGAGGCCTCACGAATTTTTTTCTATAGGAAAAACTGACCCTAGCGGTCTCACGATTTTTTCTATAGAAAAAAATGGCCCAAGTGGCCTCACGAATTTTTTTCTATAGAAAAAAATGGCCCAAGTGGCCTCACGAATTTTTTTCTATAGAAAAAAATGGCCCAAGTGGCCTCACGAATTTTTTTCTATAGAAAAAAATGGACCTAGCGGTCTCACGAATTTTTTTCTATAGAAAACAATTTTACCCCTGGGGGTCTCACGAATTTGTTTCTATAGACACAGGTGGCGTATACGAGTTGTCACTACTCATACGCATGGCAAATATGTCGCAATTTCTAGATGTTTAAATATCGAAGCTTAGAAAATTCTCAGATCATCGTTTCCAATTAAAAATTTTTTTTTGCTGCACAGAAATATTTTCAGAATATTCAGGCCACTTTTTTTAAAAGAAAATCATTTTTCTATGTCATAAAATTCTCACTTACCTTCGGGCAATAGTGAAACATTGTTCTTTTACTTCTTCGGGCGCTCAGAGATCCTTTTTTCCTGGAAACAACAAATTTCTCAAGATAACGTATACGTGTTGTCACCAGTCATACGCACTATGGTACGAATTTAAATAATTATTAAATTTATATCCCAATTTTTCGCTAAAAATTCTGCG